TCAATGACATGAGACAAAGTATATGTGAACTGCTGTATGAAAAGTGAATTTACTCTGTAAATCTTCACCCAAATCCTAATAAAAAAAAAAAAAAAAAAAAAAACTTCCTCCTGAGTAGGTAGCAAAAGTCCAAAAACCTTCCCAGGAGATGTACTTAGAGACACGAATGTTTATTCAGAAGACAAATTAAAAGAACAGGGAGAGAGGACTAAAAACATAAAGCAAGCAGGCTTACAAACATTGCTAGCAATTCAGTGTCCAGCAGCGGTAGCTGGAATGGATCCAAGATGACCGCTAACCCCTTCCCACTTTGCAGGGAGAAGTATACCTGAGTTTGAGGAATTGGGGATGGGGGCCATGTGACGGGTTTCAGACTTGATGGTGCCGGGTCCCAATTGGAAGGGGACCCTGGGCAGTGCCCTTCGACCACAACCTGTGTATGCTCTGATAAGATGCCGCCCTTAGCAAGCATTAGGGCTTAAAACTATTCCAAGGAGAGGTTGATAGGTTATAGGCAAGGTGGTTAATACATGACGGGGGTGGGCAGCTGAAGCCATGACAAGGAGAGATAGGAGAAATGGCTTACAGTTCCTACAAGCTTGGCTAAACAAGATGGAGTCTGGGAGCCACTTTGGGGGTGGTGGTGCAGTTACTGACCATACATGGAACAAATGATCAATGAGCCTGGCTGCTAACGGAAAGGCTAGGGGTTCAAGTTCATCCAGAGGAGCCTTGGAAGAAAGGCCTGGCAACCTGCTTCTGAAAAATCAGCCATTGAAAATCCAATGGAACACAGTCCTCTGTTGCTGTGAGTCAAATGACTCCAAGGCAATTGGTATTACTATAAAACTTCCACAAAGGCTGCTCACAGGGGCGCTGTCGTTATCCTACTGGTATGGAAGTTCAGAGGCAAAGTGACTTTCCCAAGTCCATGCTACTAAGCACTGGAGGGTGAAAGCTGTAGCAAGCCCAGGAGAGATCCAGCGTTTATTGAGCACTTACTGTGTGCTGATTCTGTGATT